ATATGAGTTCACATGGGGGCTAATCTGTAAGCCGGCGCTCATCAATTAGGGTAGGTGTCTGGTTTGGTCACCTAGACTGAGATCCCGATTTGCGGTTTGCTAAGTACATAATGCTTATACCGGTTGGTATGTAGTCATGGCACATAAACTGTGTGAGCGGATAGGTGGTAGGAGTCAAGCATTAAATCATGTTACTCATCGTGCGAATCACATAACACTTATGTCGGGTGGTCAAGTAACCCTGGGATATAGAATGCGTAAACAAATATTTTGTGGGAATCCAGAGTTAAATAGTGTCAAACTCCAGCTTGTGAATTATGTGGTAAATGTACCGCTTACACTCTGCCCCAAATCCAAAGGATTTTCCTCGTATTGATCCTCCGTTGGTTTCTCGCTCTGGTTCACCCTAACGCCGCTCCATCCACTATGGGAAAAATGCACGACTTACAACGGTACGTCTGTACTCCCCCACTTCGGCACGGTGGACTCACAGTGGTCCTCCCTGGAGCAGCATATCCAAAGATCCACCTTCCACCTGTGGAGAGTCAACAACCGGAACTACTCCATCTCACTGGCTGTACCACTCTAGTACACATAACTTACCCCATGTTTCTTAAGTGAAGCTTATTAGCTTCAATACTCCAAACAAATTAAGTCTCTCAATCCACCTGCGCTAAGCCTTCTCAACTTTACCAAATACATCAGCTACAGGCTTAATAGACGTTAACGCAGTTTTCACTAGGTTACTAGAAACTAGCACAATATGCGGTTTCTCAATGCCATTAAACCCTACAGTTATTCTGTTATCTGGGTCACAACTGATCTTTGCCAAACCGTCGGGGTCCACTGGGGCAACCACAAGCGGCAAGATAGCACAAGTCATCAAAACAATACAAGGTTTCTTTTTAACACAGTCAGATGTGACCGAGCTATCCCAGTTGTGATCCGGTGTGAGCCGTCGCACAGCAGGTAGGGAATCTTCGGAGGGTTTCAGAACCCCAAGCCCCTGGATTCAGGTTGGACCTCCTGGTCCGTATAGAGGCAGATATCCTCAGGCATGTCATGCTCGGTGGAGTTGTTTGCTACGTCGATAACAATTAAATGATCGGACAAACTTATAAGGCAAGTTAAAGCACATAACACTACTTCCGGTATCGCTTGAACTTGGGGTAATGAATGCTTTGATTTGTCATCAGTAAAGTTACCGTTGCATAGTTTAAAGACCTCCACATTAATATACCGTAATGGGTTGGTAACGAAAGAATGTCGTTCCACATCGCTGAACGATGCGTTGTGACACTGAGTGGTGTCCGAACCCGCTACCGATGTCACTCCCACAACGTTACTTATCGCATTAAGTGCTGACTCCTGATGGCCACAGTCAGATTCTGAGGAAGGACAAATATATGATGATTCGATAGGGGCCACTGATTCATATTGAGGTGAATCGGTGGTAGACGCATAACTATCATCTAGCTCCAGGCGTAATTTATCCATCTTAACATCAAGTACCCCCCGTTCCAACTCAAGTTCTGCCATCCTTAAGTTGAAAACAGCACAGTGTAAACCCCGACTGCGCCTGCTCTTTGTATTAGTATGCGTTCCAGAGCAAGAAACCATATCATAGGCAGTTGGAAAACGTTTGACTTGCTGAGGTTCCTACTGTGCTCCGGCAATGTTCTCGAATGCTTGCTTTCCAACAGACAAGATTCTAATAAGCAAGCGATTATGTTCGGTAGGCAAGACAATCCAAAAACAATGGGTGGGCTCAGAAGGCAGACTGAGAAGTACGGGGCACCTTTCTCTCAAATAAGCTTGCACACCATATTCAATGCAGCAAAGAAACGGTTATTGAGTGGTTGCACTCCAATTCAATACAACCCCAGTGGTTGTACTGTACTTGGACTCCAATTCAATCCAACCCAAGCGGTTGTTTAGTGTTGTAATTCAAAGCAATCCAATCCAAACGGTTGTTGCGTACTGCACTCCAATTTAACCGAGTCCAAGACACAGCGTTGGGTACTTCTACTCAAGTTCAATCCAAATGGAAACACGGCTGCCGAGTACGCGTAATCCAAGTGAACCCGAGCAACTAAACGGTTGTGGAGTACTTGTATTCCAAGTTAATCCGACCAAAGAAGCAGTTGTCGAGTAGTGTAAACGACAAAATCGCTTAGGGGCTTGAGTGACATGTAAAAACTTCCAGCCCAAACAAGCAAGGAAGGAAGCCGAAACCTCAACCACGGTACTATTCAAATAGAAATCAAAATACCATATGTACATACCTCGACAAATACCCGATCAGTTCCGAAACAACCGGCCTTCACAATGTCCAAAAGGAATGCAAACGGTACTTGCCACCGTACATAAAGAGTCACACCATACCTAGTCCACAATCGGTAACAAGCAAGAACGAAATGCTTATATGCCTTGTCTGGAACCTGTTCGCTAAGAACAACGTGATTTAAGCTATATGTCGACAGGCGATCCGCATCGAAGTGATGTCCGCAGTTGTAAGACTAAACGTCGCCAATTTCAACCAACGGGCAAGCCCTCATATGGAAGAGGGCATTCCAACAATATTCGCAGCTGGGAACTCTAAGCAAGCCGGTTACAATCATCACGCAAACCATTGCACGGAAGACCGAGGCAAACCATGTCCGCACTCGGCACTCAAAAACAGGCCGTTTCCAACCTTCAGGTAATTCATCCCTTAAGGCTACTTTCATAGTATCTTCGGTGTCCAACAATGTCCAGAAAAATTCCTCGCTTACGCTAGATATTGATATTTCAGGGGTTCCGCTTGTCAGGTTAGCCGATAACGGGACATGCTAGAGCCTTTTAAATACCGGTGTACTTAAGTTGCTATTTGGATACACCTCTGAACCACGTACATGTGGCTTGACGACCATCAACGGGGAAACGCTAGTCACACGAGATTCCATACGGGCGCCAGTCGTCATCGCTAATAAGAAACTGCAGCAGAAGTGTGTCATCGTTGACCACATCCCTTTCGTCGTCATCATTGGGATGGACTTACTAGGTAGATTGAGGTGTCAGTTGGACGTGGTGAGATCGCAATTAATCACCGTTAATTTTACTGTCCCGCTTTACTGTCATGAAGGCGTTGGTTTTGAGGAGTACGCGGTCCGTGAGGCCTCGGAAGGAATCTCGTGGATAGACGAGTTGATGCAGCCACTAAAACCGACTAGTGATGGTCTTGCTGTGCGGCGCGTGGAAGAAATTGTACAGGAACACAGACGTTTTCGCATGCGGGATAAAGAATATTCGGCGCACCGCCCTTGGAACAATGGGATAATGGTATAGTAAGGACAAAAAATCGGATACTTAGCAAGTCCCGTAGGATGGCTAACAAAGGACCACAACGTGGTGAATAGAAAAGAGGGATATTGTGGAGTGCACAATCGATACCGGCGATGTTAAACCTGTGATGTATTCACCGCGACAGATGCAAGCTCACTGGCAGAGTGAGGTACAGAAAATGATAGATGAAATGCTTAAGAGGAATTTCGTCCAACTCTTCACTTCCCTATGAGCGTCACCCATTGTTCTGGTGAAGAAGAAAAATGGTGGTCTCCGGCTGTGTGTGAAATATGGACGTCCTAGCCAGGTAATTCGGTGAGACACCTTTCCTCTCCAAGAATCGACGATTTGTTTGATGCACTTGGTGGTTTAACATGTTTTAGCACACTCGATCCTGCTTCTGGCTCCTGGCAGGTGGAAGTGGCAGAGAGTGGCCGAGCAAAACTGCTTTCATCCTGCTTTCTGGCTTGTACGAATCTCATACTATACCGTTTTGTTTGACAAACGCCCACGCGATATTTCAGGATCTGATGCAGTCTGTATGGTGTGAATTGATCCGACGGAAGTGTCTAGTTTAATTAGGCAAGTTTACGGTGTATGGGAAGACGAAGCAGGGACAGTTGAACAACCTGGCCGAAGTATTGAAACGTCTAATCGAGGTAGGTCTCAAACTCAAGCCATCGAAGTGCCACTTACTACGGGAAGAAGTGATCTCGGACCCATTATCTCGGGGTCAGGTATACGAACAGATCCCCACAAGAAGGAACAAGTAAAATCGTGACCAACCCCTACATGTACTGAGCACTTACGCAGCTTTTTGGGTTGGCTTAGTATTACAGGCGATTGATCAAACTAGGTGCATCATTGCCACTCAACTAATTGTATTGTTGCAAATAGATAGAACGTTTGTGTGGTCAAGCGAATGCCAGAACGCATTTCATCGGTTCCGTGAGTCTCTCTGTGCGGCCCTGTGCTAGTATAGTCTGACTTATCATCCTCGGCCCGAGAACATTTTGGACACCGATGCCAGTGACCAAACGATTGGAGTTGTCCTGTCACTGAATGGTCCTGACGCAAAAGAAAGAGTAGTATCTTACATTAGTAGGAGCCTCAGCTCAAGAGAGAGAAATTATTGCAATACCAGAAAGGAAATGCTAGCTTTGGGGTTTTTCATAAAACAGAATCAGCATTATCTACTTGAAAGCAGCTTTGTTGTACGGACTTACCGTCAGTCCCTTCGAATGCTGCGAAACTTCAGGGATCCTAAAGGACAAATCGCGCGCTGGCAAGAACAGCTATGGCAATATGATTTTGTATGCAACCATCGGCCCGGTAGACAGCACTCTAACGCAAACGCATTGTCACGAATTCCACTCCGGGACCATGAGGATTGTCCTTCGTGTAACACGTAGTCACTGTAAAAGGGGACCAAATATGTAAAGAACGTTACGGTTAACAGTCTCCGCAATCTTGAGGTTAACCATGGCTATGTGTTGCGTGTTGCACGAAGGACAATCCCCAAGGCCCCGGAACGGAATTTGAGACAATGCGTTTGCTTTCACAAACTTTATTACAGATGGGATTCGCAACCATTGGAAGTGCGGGAAAATCTCCAAGGAAAATTGATGACATCCTCAGAATTGGGTATTCACTTTGTGACCAAAGACAGAAGGAAACTAGCACATAGATAGAATATACTGTACATGAGGCACACAAATATCCACAGTTACAGTGGGGTAGAAAAGAACTGAGCGAACAAACGTTCCACAACCCATGCGGCATTCATCTCGGGAAATGGAGCGATGCTCTTCACCTCGGAAGTTAACCGTTTGCAATGCATCTCTGATGGATACCGTATGGATGTAGATGATATAAGAAGTAGTGAAGAATATACATGCTCCGGGGATCCACTTGATGGAAGGACACGGTGTGGTCGCTGCAACATTTAGTGCCCTGTGGAAAAATAATGAGTAATAGCTGTGAGCATATCTAAATATTGCAAGTGACTATAGTGTATTCTCAGTAAGTTGGCTATTCTGCAAAGCACATGATCTGATTGTCAGATTTTACTATGGCTGAGAGGGAATAGCAGTTTCAGGCTGTTTAGACCTGTCGTATACAAAATTCTTACAGCTTCTATGCTCAATCACAGCTCTCTTAGCGTCTACCGTTACTAAGCCGTGTAGTTTTACAAGGTCTTCAGGGGTGTTTGGCGCTGTGCTCATGTCTAATGCTATCACACGTAAGAGTGCAGAACATTCAAGTCGTACAAATATTCGTGGTATTGAGACGAATAGTGCGGTCCCAAGATCGCATATCCGTTTCACTTAAATATACTACATGTGTTCATCTTCACCCGGTGCTCCGCCAAGGGGATATTTCTGTGCCAACCATTTTCATGTGCGCTGAAGCTAATTGTTTAAGCTCGACGGAGTCAGTTTCCTCCCTTTGACTTCTCCCGTTCCCTGCACTCATTCGATTCAGCGTAGTTAAGACAATCGAAATCAAGATACGACTGTTATCTAGTGTCCGTTTCACTAAGATCCCAGAATCGGGGTTAGGTTTCATAATAGTGTCACTGATGAAAATAAGCTAAGCAGTTGCGCAGAAAGTGCAGATTGCTTTGTTCATTTTCAGTGGACGATACTTGAACCTGAGTGAGCCTATTGTTCGGGTGTTACGATAGGACTACTTTGGATTTACAATGTTCACAATACGGTTTTCACTGACCAACAGAAGTTGGATAACCTGCTCGTAATTGTGATTAATCGGCGCGTTGTTTTGGTGCCTCGTTTAACTCAAGTTTATCGTTCGTGTATGTTGAAGTATCGTGCGCACTACTCGTTCTTTCGTGCATTCATCCTACAGTGTTAAAAACGCACTCCTCCCTTAGGAAACTCACATAGAGAGAGGTATCAACAGTATGCTAGTACGCAGTACCGATGCTCCGCTACCGCACCACCACCAACAGTCGCACGCGGGCTACGGATACTGCGAAGGCTCCCCGGTCCCCTACGCAGGCTCGGAGCTGAGCCCTCGGATTAAAAAGCAGGCTTGTGATCCTTTAGCCCATGGGCTGGCCTGAAAAGTAAATCTATTGCTGGTGTTTTCTCCACAATTCCGTGCTCTCCAGATAACGAACGAATGCAGCACGGGCTGCAAAAGTGCCACAATCGTATATGCTAGATCCACTTCACACAGTGTGGGCAAATTCTTGATATCGTGTAACAAAACGGTTAGCAAAGATTGCCGAACTAATAGACCTGGAACCGCTAATACAAAATCTGGAACGATCAGTTATATGCGATTAGAAGGTGACTTAAAGCTTGAGAGGCGTTTTAGGGACATTGAAATCACGGAAATTCTGTCATAATCTGAGGCTACCTTGCAGCATGTGCCTTCCATGGGCCGGCAAAATTCCTCTGGCAGCACGTCGCCTGAGGACCTCTTAGTTGAACATATGTGAGGAACAATTACTGCCTGATCGCTAGTTTGGAGCAATTTCAAGTGGCTGCTCTTAGACATTCTGAATACTTGCCTCGTGTATGTTGTGTTAGTGGCTAATCCACTCCTCCCTCGAGTCCAGTTACTTCAACGCAGGTTCCGGGGACCAGTGGCTCAAGTAAACCCCGGAGCATAACTCAGCACAGGGAATGAGTCGTTGTAGATACGTTTATTATTTTCTACTACACCTATTTTCGAGGTTTCACAATTTTATTGCACGCATGTAACTCCCTCTCGATGGTTAACCCTTCCCCATTGCTCAGCTCACAGAGGATTGGCTGCCTCCCTTTCCATTTTTGCATGTCACCATGAATGTGACCAATCAGCATGAGTCGAGTTCGCTTTTGGAGTGCCTACCGTGTATTTGGATTACGGCATGCCATCTCAGTTGTGACTGCGGTTCCCAATGAAGTAACTCTCGCCCACTACGCTCCCTGGGACCGTATCCTAAGTGCAAGGTTCCCGGTGCTCCTAACTCACACCAATGCACTCCACGATCGATTTTGAGCTCGTTCAATCTTTACACGGGGATAGTTATAGCTGGGAGTAAAACCATGTTGTGCTTGATGGCTAACACATTAATGACGAAGCTACTGAGATCCGTGAGCACCACAAGTTACAAAGTGACCATGGGTGGTCTGCGCTGCCTTAACCAAGTCTCCATCCACGCACACCTCACTTTCATTGTAAACACTAACGAATAAAACCTACTGGCAAGTGGGTGAAGCCACAATCGATTCCCAGCCGGCGGATACCTCTTTAACACGCACGCACACCAGTGGTGTAGTATTTGGAGATCACATATCAAACGGAACAGAGCGATTACTGATTGCAGCACAGTAACTGAGAGGGTTCCTGTTGCGCCACAGTAGCTTAGGTTCCCCCCCCTCTAGCTAACGTGTATAATGATGGTGATGATGAGCGATTACTGAGTCGCAACCACTTCCTCAATGAAAACACCCTGTGAGCACAGCACTGTCACGACAACCGCACAACAGCCTTCTAGATTGGTTAATCAATTTGGCAGAGTGAACGTGTGAGTCGAGGGAAGCACCTCAGCAGCGCGCACACTGAGCGCGAGCAGATGCGTTACACCACCGGGGAACAAGCACAAGTACGAAGGTGGTTCGACTAGGCACAATAGCGCACCGTCAACCCCAGCGACGGCGTACACACAGTGCGAGGGTGAGACAGCCACAACTAACTGCTTGACCTAGTAGAAACACCAGTGAAACTGCTGAGTCCAGCTGATAGCCATGGCACGAATACGTATCACTTTGAATTCACATTCAAACTCGGCAGTGATCGCGTTTACCCCACAAAATGTAGCTTCCAATAATGTCAGAGGACGTGCAATGATGTGCGTCATCCCGTGAGTTACCTGCTCTCCGGGTGTTCAAAAGCGACAACAGTTGTCAGACGCCGGCTTGACTCGATCTGATGCGGCGTCGGCGCTTGTGTGAACATCAGGAGCGATCAGGTCTTGGTCCATGACTCCAAGCAACGAGTAGGGTGGACCAGTGAGCATATTGCTGAGCCACATTTCCTCTGCCAAGGCATGGATCTCCCGACTGGTGTCCTGATGCGTGTTCAGGCGATGGAGCTGACTCCCGATGATAGCTGATTCGAGGTAACCGTATGGGTACTCGGGGACCTACTCCCGCGAGTGAACTAACGCATTCAGCTGACGCGCATCCGCTCAATTTTGATGGTGTCAGTGCTTGTCAGTTCATGTGCTGGGACATCGGTTTCTGAATGGGCAGAAGGATATTTTAGACATCTCCTCAGTAATTCAACTACAGAGCCGAAAGTCAGTCAATGGGTTGAAATGGAAATCCCCAATAATGGATCTTAATGCGATCTTAGCGTGAATTTGTGAGTACAAGTACTATAGTTGGTGGAGAATCGGACTACCCTTAGCTGAGGGAGAGGGCAGACAGCATGCATTGCCAAGGTGACAAGCGCAGTAGCCTCCTGGGCTTTGCATGTTGGATGTTGTATTGGATGTTGCTCGTAGCTCCGGGCACCTCGTTACGTAAACTCCGCTATTATGGACTATAGTAATAATTCCCTTCTACCGGATTTGTTTTAGCTGGACTCAAGGAGGTGGCGCATGAGTGAGCGAGCATATTTTAGTTTGCTCATGCGTTACCTCAACGGTCACTGCACCCCGTGTTCTTCTGTATGCTTGCATCAAATTTTTATTTTATGTTATTATTATGTAATAACGCATTTAACTCGGTAGACTCTCGTGTATGATGGCGACGACGTATCTGTAACAGTAAAGTCAGACGTCTTGTCTTGGGGAATGCGACTATGCCCTTCAACAAGCTGATGTTGCTGCGCCAATTAAGGTGGCTCGGTCACGTCCTACGTAAGTCAGCTGAGTGTTCCCCCCACTGCGCGCTTTTCCTTCACGCAAGACTTGGCTTGAAGAGACCTCGTTGCGTTCAGCCGTTCACCTGGCGACAGTATATGAAATCGTTGAGTTCACGTCTTGCCATTGTTGGATCCACACGTCTGCCTGGTTGGAGACCAAACGACGAAGAGTGCCTATAGATGGAAACAATTCAGGATATGGCGCACAACTGAGTCCAGTGGAGGATCTGTGTACATATTTGTTTAGGTATATACATTGAATACGGCTAACAGTAAAATTGGCAGAGTGCCACAACGGATGGACAAATACATTATAACAATAATAAGGAAATAGAGAGGGTAAAAAAATGTATAAAACAGGGTCTCACCACACGTCCGCCATTGCTCATGGTTTCTTGATATCTCCGATAGGGTTTCCATCCAAGTATGTTCATAGTCCTTGAGCCCTCAACCGAAGAGTCGACAGCGCCCGACTGCGGCCAAATGTGAAGTCAACGCTATCATACCCTTGGTTCAAATCATTCGCTGGTCACTTTGTCCTCCCTTCCAGCCGACTTCTATTCGCGCATAGAGTGCATGGTGAGGCAAACGCTCAGTAGGCATACGAAGCGCGTGCCCAAGCCCCCGAAGTCTATGCAGTGAAATTGTATGGCTCAGCGGCCGGGAAATTCTGTACGATTGGAAAATCCTTCGGCGAACATCCTCATTACTAATGTGGTGTTTGCCCCCGTACAGCAGCAATGCTCCGAAGGCAGCGGTGATCAAAGACAAATAGCTTCTGAAAGTTCTTTGTGCGAATAGGCCAGGTGTCGCAAACGTAGAGCAGGACCGCTCTCACCGTGACATAGTAGACTCGGCCCTTCAAGGAGATACTCAGGTCACAGCGACGCCACAGGACGCGGAGGTTAGCAAATGCAACCCGGGCCTTATAGACGCGCAACGAGACCTCACCCGTTAAGCCGTTAGCGCAGAGGAAGTTTCCGAGGTAAACGAAGTTGTCTACCACTTCCAGAGATTGACCTGAAAGAGTAAGGGTTGGGTCAGATCCTAGCCAGTCCTGTACTAAGACCTTACATTTCGAAGGGGTTAAGGTCATTCCAACCTGAGAGGTAGACACCGTCAACCTGCACAGCAAATCTTGGGCGACCTGTGCGGAATCGCAATGAGACTGGACCTTACTGTAGTGCGGTGGCTTGTGTGCCTCAGTGATCCATTGAGCTATGTTGGGTGGTGCTTTTTGCACCTTCAGAACCACTCATGCCAGATTGGTCAATGGTTAGGGGCCAGACAAACTCAGCGTCTTGGTCCTCCAGGTAGGGGGTTGGAAAAGGATGGCTTCTTATTCCCTAAAACGGACTTCTTGTAGCCTAACGCCAAACACGTTGCCTTCCGGTCAGGTATTTAAACCAAAGGCTTTGGTTGAGAACCCTAATGGTTCTCCAGTCTAGGCCTGGACAACCCGAAAGTATCATACCCAGGAAATATACCATAACATATCCTTCTAACAATCTCTTGATGCTTTGGCCACAGCAGAGGATAAAAAATGGCGCTCGATCGGTTGCATTGAGCAGGGTGTATAGGGGGTGGGATGCAACTGCTAAAAAATTCCCGCCATTCATTCGCAACGTACGCTTCTTCTACCTTATTGTTCCGTTCTAACTTCACTTTTATAAAGCCTGATTAAAACCCCACCCACTCTTTCAGAAGTTGAAGGTGAGATCGGACTGTTGAAGTTGAACAAAACCGCGGGACAAGATGATCTTTATCCAGCCCTCTTCATATTCGGGGGAACTGCACTTGTGGATGATTTACACGAATATCTAGTGAAACTGTGGGTGCAGGAAACTGTCTCAACCGACTGCAGCCGCTCCGTCATTGTTCCCATCTCCAAAGGAGGCTCGCGTCCAGAATGCGGCAATCATAGAGGAATCAGTCTGATCTCCATTGCGTCCAAATTGCTTGCCTTTGTCATCCTTCACAGACTGACTGGTACTCGTGAAAGCTATATCCGGGAAGATCAAGCCGGGTTTCGTCGAGGCTGTGGCTGCATTGACCACATCTTCACTTTGCGTCAGTTGTTGGTGCACCGTCACACATATTGGCGGCCCACCGTTGTCGTGTTCCTCAATATCAAAGGTGCATTCGATTCGGTGGACAGAAGTGCTCTTTGGGACTGTCTAGTCAGAAAAGGTGTGTCCGAGAAATACGTACATGTTATCCGAGCACTATACGTTCGTAGCACGGGCAGAATAAGGGCATACGGCAAGCTGTCACCGCCCATCAATATCTCCAGCGGTGTGAGACAAGGATGCCCGCTGTCACCATTCCACTTCAATTTCATTATTGACGAAGCCATGAAGATTGCATTTACAAGACACGACTTAGAAGGTGTGAAGCTACTCCCAGGAGAACGACTTCTTAACTTAGAGGATGCTGACGACATTGCCCTAATCTGTTACAGCCCAGAAACGTGCCAAGCGGCACTGGACAGATTAACACTGGTTATCCGTCAATTCGGGCTTTGGTTCGCGCCCTCGAAATGCAATGCGTTCTTCCCAGATTGGGCCGGACCGCCTCCTACGCTGACCCGTAGTGGGGATCAGCTAGAGGTCCTTCAACAATTCAACTACCTGGGAAGTTGTATCAGCATCCTTGGGATCGAATAGGAAATCACGAACCGTATAGCAAAGGCTCGATGCACTTTTACTAGTCTTCGCCAACCTGGCTGGCTTGCGGAACAACCTCCTCGTGGTGCTAGCTGGGTGGTTCGGGTTTTTCCCGTTCCAGCGAATGGTTCGGCGGCAGTGTTCCAGGACGTGGTGGGTTTTCGCCTGGCAAGCGTTCTCCCTATAAAAAGCCACATATGTCCGTTTAACAACACTGTGACGTGGCGGATGTGACTCGCCACTAAATAAAGTCACTGCCCCTTGCCCCTCCCTGAGAGGCATTGTACTTTAAGGGTGAGTTGGGCCCCTGGTCCTTCACGGACCGAAAGGCGTATGAACCATCTACTTGGTCACCGGCTCCCAACGGGTTGCGACGTCCTCATATCGCCCTGCTACCTTGTAGGTTAGATCTTTGATCAAAGGCTCGGGGTAGGGCCCCCTAAGACAACCCTCTACTTCGGCCTGGGCAACCGGGTAGTATCACGCCCACTGACGAATCATGGACTTCACCGCTCACTACTACTACTGCTATGCCGCTCTTCTGTCTTAACTCAACTGCTCAACGTCCACTCACAGACCACCCCACCTCCCGTCCTTCACCTACATGTACTCTTGTGTCTTCTACGGTCACCGTCACAAACGACCCACGTCTCGCAGCTGATGGAAGTAACAGCCAAACTCCCGATTTTCAGTCCTGCGATCGCAACCACCTCTCACTCCACCGAAGCTCCAGCTCTTCTTCGACCTGGTTCTCCATTCATCCTCGCAGCGTTTAATGTTTGAACTTTGATGCAGATCGGACGACAAGCATGTCTGGCCCGTACTCTTGAAACGCTATCGGTAGACATCTGTTGTCTTTCAGAGACCAGATTACAAGACTCTAGCGCCGTCATCAGAATGGCCTCTCCCGTAAACTCTGACGCCAAATACTACTTGCGGCTTTCCGAAGACCCAGAATTTGCCGCCACTGGTCAAGCTGGTGTTGGGGTTGTATTAAGTGCCAGGGCTGAATCAGGTCTGATTGACTGGATCCCAGTCAACAGCCGACTATGTGCAGTCAGACTAAGAGGTTCATGTAACGTAAACAGACGTCGAGATGTTAAGCGTGCCTTATTTGTCGTCTCCGCCTACGCCCCTACAGACTGCAGCCCGGATGCAGTTAAAGATAGCTTTTACCAACAACTACATGAACTTCTGCGTTCCTCCAAACGGACGGATATAGTCATTCTTGCCGGGGACTTTAACGCACGGGTTGGCCGCCTTCTACCAAGCGAGCACCACATTGGGGGTAGTTTTGGTCTCGGTGGCAGTCGATCAGACAATGGAGACAGACTACTTGCTCTTTGCTTTGATCATCGCTTGTTTCTTTCGAGCACTAGTTTTCGACACTCGAGGAGACAGACTGCTACCTGGTGCCGGTCCTCACAAACGCAAGAGTGCTCCCAGCTTGACCACATAACAATCAGCTACAGATGGCGCGGAAGCATAACGGACTGCCGATCGTACTGGTCAACTTTTCTAGACTCTGATCACGCATTGGTTCGTGCTAAGATTTGCATGCGTTTCGGAGGATCACCTAAGCGCGCCCACTACCGACCGGACGTCGCGAATCTACAAAACGCTGCGGTTTTAACCAGGTACCAAGCCTCACTGTCAACTTTGCTTGGCTCAACTATTGACGGTGATCTCGATTCGCAGTGAGCGCATATCAAAGATGCGTTAGTTTCCGCCAGTATCGACACTTGTGGAGTTACCCGTCACCCACCGAAACATTGGATTTCCGCCGACTCCTTGTCGCTGATGGACAAACGCCGCTTGATCCCATCGGATTCGAGACACGTTGAAGAACGCCAATACCTTGGTCGAGAGTTGCGCAGGAGTCTGCAAATGGACCGCGAAGCTTGGTGGTGTGAACGTGCTAGGGAGATGGAGCTTGCTAGTCTCTGTGGTAATACCAGGAAACTCTTCTATCTCCTTCGAGTCACCGAAGGTGTTCGATCTGGTATAAGTGAAACAATATGCGAAGAGGATGGCACCTTAATCACCAATCTTCAACGACGGTTGGAGCGATGGGCCGAACATTTTGGCTCACAGTTTTGTTGGCCCCCAGCTCCATCTGCTACCTCTGGCGCTCGCACCGAGTGGTCTACCCCCAAAGATCCTCCCTCTTCCCAGGAAATCGAGCAGGAGCTCCGGCACCTAAAGCGTTATAAAGCTCCCGGCCCTGATGGTCTTCACCCAGCTCTATTTAAAGATGGTGGCGCATCGCTGGTCCGAGAACTCACCGTTTTGTTCTCGAAAATTTGGTCGAAAGAGAAGGTTCCATCATCTTTTGGTGAATCGATAGTCGTACCCATCTTCAAAAAGGGCCTGCGCACAATCTGCTCCAACTACAGAGGAGTAAGTTTAGTCCCCGTCGTTTGCAAGCTGCTGGTGTCCATCATACTTCGCAGGCTATCCCGAACACGCGAATCGTTGCAACGAGAAGAACAAGCTGGGTTTCGCCCTGGTCGCGGCTGCATCGATCAAATCTTCACACTTCGCCAGATCCTCGAGCTCCGCCATGTGTATCAGAGGCCAACGATTGCTGTGTTCCTGGATATCCGTGCAGCCTTCGATTCTGTCGATCGTACAGTACTGTGGCAGTGCCTTCTGAGGAACGGTGTCCCCGAGAAGTTCGTCTCCATACTGCGCGCTCTCTATAGTCTGACCTCGGGCAGGGTTAGGGCTTATGGCATGCTTTCGCCTACCTTTGTGGT